GAGTTAACCAGTAGTAAGATGAAGTTTTGCTGGACAAAGATTGTGAGATAGCTTTTAATCGGTTTGAAGCGGTTGCTTTCTTCGTCACCCGTATTGAAAAGTCCTGACTTTAATCAACCCTTCTATTTACACATCGATGCCAGCGGTTATGCTGTGGGGGCGGTGTTACTTCAGAAATCCCCCTCTACTGATATTTTGCATCCTATATCTTATTTTTCTTCAAAGTTGAAACGTCACGAAAAGAATTACGCCACTGTAGAGAAAGAAGCTCTTGCCCTAGTAATATCTTTGGAACATTTTGACATTTATCTGGGAACCTCCCCCCATAAAATTATGGTATTTTCTGATCACAACCCTTTAATTTATATTAATTCTATGAAATCAAAGAACACCCGAATCCTCAGGTGGGCTCTGAGGATCCAACCTTATCTGATTAGTATTCAACACTTAAGTGGGTCCCTTAACATAATTGCTGATGCTCTTTCTCACCCTTGAAAAAAAAAAAAAAAAAAAAATTGTATACCTTAAAATGTAAAGTTAAGAAATGAGTACTCTTAGAGCCTAATTTGTATATATATTATATATTTTTGTTAATGATTTTCTTTTATATTGAAAGAAAGACTATGAAAGCCGTTTCGTTGATGGGACGAACTATTAAGTCCACATGGATGACCCTGACAGTCATGTCCGAGACTCCTATTCTCGAATTGTGATGGAAGCCACTCTAGATAGTTCTTCTGGCCATTGTTCTAAAAGCTCATCCTCTGGCAAATAACCATGCTGTTCGAGTTCTTGCTTCTCCATTCTTCCGTCGTACTACTTGCCTTATTTACCAAGAGGACGCTTACTATAAAGGAGATATTACCAAGGACGCTTGCAAACTCCCTACTGCGACCTATTGTCATACGGGGGGGGTGTTATATCTTCGAAATTGGTCATCCTGTGTTATTTAAATATTGTAAGAGCATATGTTCATCACTTAATATTATAGCGTGAAAGTCCCCGTTTATAGCTAAAATAGAGACTTTCGGCGTTATATTATTATCTGTTAATACATGAAAAATACCATGGTATTATCGCTATTATCGTTATTATCATTATTATCTTATTATCACTATTTTGTAATTATCACTATTTTACTATTATGGTTAGGTAGGATTTCTTGTGTATATAGAGTTTAAGTCTCAGAACCATCCGGTGAATTGTTCAGTTGTTTATGTCTGGCTGGCTGACGTGGCTCAGCTGATCCAACCTGACGACACGTCAACAGACTGGCAAGTAGTCAGTCTGCTCCCAGCTCTAGCCCTGACTACTGATCGTATATTGGCTCTTACGGTGTACAGTTGAATGGTTTTGAGAATTAGACTCTAGAGCTGACTCACTTTGTTCCTCATTGCTTTGAAAGACTCTTTTGATATTTATATTCTTGGTCAGTTCAGTAATCCATAGAGATACTATACGGCCAGATTCAAAGGTCTTGTTAAATCTTGTACCTTTTGTATTTTGAGTTTACAGTCTTGTTAAGAAAGAGACGTAAATATTAATGAGGACTTAGATACAGGAAGAATAATTAAACTTCCTTATTAATAAGACATTTCCATGATTTGGAACTAAATGTATATGGTAATTTTATTGTACAAAGTATTAAGTTAAATTAACTACAAAGAGAAGATAAAGTATTGTATTTAAATACTTTAATAAATTTGAATATTATTCTATGGAGTTTCCCAGTTGAAATTATTTCCCCTAGACTCTAAAATACCTATAACTCGGATCCAAAAATCTTGTTGCATAAGAGATAAATGGTAACAGGCCACATTCTGAAGTTCTTTAAAAAAATTTTATTCGCAACAGTACTGGAAGATTTGCATTTTTTTTTTCAACAAGTCAGCCGTCTCCCACTGAGGCAGGGTGACCCAAAAAGAAAGAAAATCCCCAAAAAGAAAATACTCATCATCATTCAACACTTTCACCTCACCCATACATAATCACTGTTTTTGCAGAGGCACCCAAATACAACAATTTAGAAGCATATATGAAGATAATATTTAGTGAAGGGATTCAGGGATTCAGTGAGGGGGGCAGTTGGACGCAGTGGAGATGTCCTGTCTAAGGGCAATGTGTGGTGTAAATATTATGCAGAAAATTCGGAGTGTGGAAATTAGGAGAAGGTGTGGAGTTAATGAAAGTATTAGTCAGAGGGCTGAAGAGGGTTTGTTGAGGTGGTTTGGTCATTTAGAGAGAATGGATCAAAGTAGAATGACATGGAGAGCGTATAAATCTGTAGGGGAAGGAAGGCAGGGTAGGGGTCGTCCTTGAAAAGGTTGGAGGGAGGGGGCAAAGGAGGTGTTGTGGGCGAGGGGTTTGGGCTTCCAGCAAGCATGCGCGAGCATGTTAGATAGGAATGAATGGAGACAAATGGTATTTGGGACCTGACAAGCTGTTGGAGTGTGAGCAGGGTAATATTTAGTGAAGGGATTCAGGGAAACTGGTTATTTTATATAACTGGATTTGAGTCCTGGAAATGGGAAGTACAATACCTGCACTCTAAAGGAGGGGTTTGGGATATTGGCAGTTTGGAGGGGTATATTCTGTATTTTTATACATATATACTTCTAAACTGTTGTATTCTGAGCACCTCTACAAAAACAGTGATAATGTGTGAGTGTGGTGAAAGTGTTGAATGATGATGAAAGTATTTTCTTTTTGGGGATTTTCTTTCTTTTTTGGGTCACCCTGCCTTGGTGGGAGACAGCCGACTTGTTGAAAAAAAAAAAAGTATAACATATCCCTAAAAATTGCCAATATCCCAAACCCCTCCTTTAAAGTGCAGGCACTGTACTTCCCATTTCCAGAACTCAAGTCCGATTATATAAAAATAACCTATTTCTCTGAATCTCTCAACTAAATATCACCCTGCTCACACTCTCACAACTCGTCAGGTCCCAAATACCATTCGTCTCCATTCACTCCTTTCTAACATGCTCACGCACGCTGTCTGGAAGTCCAAGCCCCTCGCCCACAAAACCTCCTTTATCCCCTCCCTCCAACCTTTTCGAGGATGACCCCTACCTCGCCTTCCTCCCCCTACAGATTTATACGCTCTTCATGTCATTCTACTTTGATCCATTCTCTCTGAATGACCAAACCACCTCAACAACCCCTCTTCAGCCCTCTGGCTAATACTTTTATTAACTCCACACCTTCTCCTAATTTCCACACTCCAAATTTTCTGCATAATATTTTCACCCCACATTGCCCTTAGACAGGACATCTCCACTGACTCTAACTGTCTCCTCGCTGCAGCATTTACAACCCAAGTTTCACACCCATATAAGTGTTGGTACCACTATACTTTCATACATTCCCTTCTTTGCCTCCATAGATAATATTTTTTGTCTCCACATATACCTCAATGTACCACTCACCGTTTTTCCTTCATCAATTCTATGGTTAACCTCATCCTTTATACATCCATCCGCTGACACGTCAACTCCCAAACATCTGAAAACATTCACTTCTTCCATACTACTCCTCCCCAATTTGATATCCAATTTTTATCTAAATCATTTGATACCCTCATCACCTTACACTTTTCTATGTTCACTTTCAACTTTCTACCTTTGCACACACTCCCAAACTCGTCCACTAACCTTTGCAACTTTTCTTTAGAATCTCCCATAAGCACAGTATCATCAGCAAAAAGTAACTCTCAATTCCCATTTTGTATTTGATTCCCCATAATTTAATCCCACCCCTCTCCCAAACACCCTAGCATTTATTTCTTTTACAACCCCTCAGCAAACTTATTCCCCTACAATTTTTGCAATCTCTTTTGGCCCCCTTCCCTTTATATAAAGGAACTATACATGTTCTCTGCCAATCCCTAGGTACCTTCCCCTCTTTCATACATTTATTAAACAAAAATACCAACCACTCCAACACTATCCCTGTGCTTTTAACATTTTTGTCATGATCCATCAGTTCCAGCTGCTTTACCCACTTTCATTCTATGTAATGCCTCATGCACCTCCCCCACACTCACATCCTGTTCTTCTTCACTCCTAAAAGATGTTTTACCTCCCTGGCCAGTGCATGAAATTACCATCTCCCTTTCTTCTTTGACATTTAAAAGTTCCTCAAAATATTCCCGCCATCTACCCAATACCTCCAGCTCCCCATCTAGTAACTCCCTTACTCTGCTTTTAACCGACAAATCCATTCGTTCCCTAGGCTTTCTTAACTTGTTTATCTCGCTCCAAATTTTTTTCATATTTTCATCTTATTTTATATGAATCTATATTTCATCTTTATTGAGGTTTCCAAAAAATTTTGAATTTGCATGTGAATTTCATTTTTGTGTATTATCATACTTATATTTGTAGTGATACATGGAGAAGCATACTTGACCCTATCAGAGATACAGTGCAATGAAGCAGAGGATAGGCAGAGTCTGTGTTAACTTGAGAAAGCTATTTACCCTTTACTGAAGGGGCACCAGGAGAGGGGAAAAGCAAAAAAATTTATTATTTGAATACAATAAACACCATTATGTTGAAAGAGCAGCCAGCCCTGGCAACTACACATTAGTTAGCAATATCAGCACACACATTTACCAAATATATCAATTTAAAAAAAGTGAAATTAAGAATATTAGTTAGTGTGTTTAATAATAAGAATAAAGATATCAACTAACTGTAAACTAATTAAATAATGAAAGATATAATAAAGTTTAATACTACTTTACATTAATTGCATTTTAAGTCACAGAACAGAGACTACTCAACAGAAGTTAACTAAACAATCATTCAAGATTTTGCTCTACATAAAACTATATTTTCAAGGTAAACTAATACCAGGTATTTTTGCATTTATTTTCATTTAGGCAACTGATAGTTTAAAAATTTCATGTTCCACCCAAATTGTAGAAAATACCATCTGAGCATGATATTACCCAGCAATTCCACTAATATAATATTACAAGTGAAAGTATATGATACCTCTTCTTTTCCTCTTCTTTGGTAGATCGTCAGAATTGACTAGGTGAGGATTGGTAACCTCCTCAAGGTGGGAAGGATCATCAGTGTCAAACAGGGTACGCACTTGAAAGGGAAGCACTGCACGTACATTGATGGTGGGGTATCTTGATGCTGGATCTAACGTATATGACAAGTGATCTGCATAAGATGTTTCAAAAAATTAGTTACTCGAAAGAAAGAACAAAAAGGCACAATACCGTGACTGGAACAATACACAAATAACCCACACAGAGAAGAAAGGAGCTTACAACGATGTTTCGGTCCGACTTGTCAGACCAAAACATCGTCATAAGCTCCTATGTGTGGGTTATTTGTGTATGGTTACTCAAATATGTACAATGCCACAAATTCACCATTTCAAGTCAAGATTTTAGATTCTATAGTTCAACAAGGAAAAACAAAATTCTGCTAAATTAATTACCTTTACTAAGATTCTCTGGGGTTGTCTGTGCCAAAAGGCGATAGATGCTTTCTCTCTCTGCTAGCACTTCCAAAGGAGTCATCTTTCCTGAACAAAGAGATCGCACCATCCAGGCAGCATCAAAACAACTAAGAAATCCTCGGGCACATCCAGAGCCAGTTGGCCAAAAAGGCTGAGGAAAACAATATGGTATTTGAAACTTGTAAAAAAAATATTGCATAAACTTTGCTTTTTTCAACTCTAATGTAAATCTCCAGAAAAATTTACTTTTGAAAATAAGTGCTACCACAGGTAAATTATGGGTTAGTGAAGGAATCTATTCCTTAACCCTTTGAGTCAGAACTTGATCTGAAACTTGCTCCTAGGGTTGGAAAATTAAAAAAAAAACTCATGAACTATAATCATTTTCCAAAGGTAATGAAACCAAAAGCATGAAACCTGATGGAAAACTTACAGAATTACACTCTCTCAAAGTCTGAGGTCTCGGCAATATTTACACATTGGCACTTCTGCCAACTTTGAACCCTATTTTTAGCCAATTCCATTGTCCCAGACAACCAAACTCATAGCTATTTAGCTAGCATTCCCTCTATTCTAACGAGTACAAGAAATTGCCCATTTACCTATTTTAATTATCTAATAAAGTGATCGGAAATTGGTAATTTCCCTAATTTCACACAAAATTAAAAAACTGCCAATCTAAAAATAGGGTCCAGAATAAACAACAGACATTCCTGGCACTAAAAAACATTTCCTCTGTTCATTAGTTACATCCCCAGGGCTCTCCTATATTACGCTTGCTTTCCATTTTGAATTTTTATCCACACAAAAAATTCAAGATTTACCGTTTCGCAGATTACCGCATTACTGTAATAATTGTATAAATAATATCAGCGCATTTGTGAATACACATTAGACTGACCAGGTGGGCCTGTATTGGACAAGTGACGTAATTTGTGTACTCTGGAATATCAGCAAAAATCAAACCTTTCTGCTACCTTGAGCTCAATTTCAAGCTACTTTGAGTTGTGAAACCAATCAAGATCATCTCTATTTCTGTAGTGTATCTTCCATTCTATCAAATGAGACCAAGAAACCAAGACTACAACCATAAAAGCCATATGAAAATACAAACTCTGCAAAATCACTTGTTTTAAACCCAAAACAAGATCACAGTTTTTTCCTATTATGAACTGCGTGCCGCAGGATTTTTTTATGTGGGGCACATTTATCTAACAGACCCATTCTCTCATATCTAGGCCCAAATTAACTACTCACAGCTTATCTGAGTGAGCTGAGCCATAGAGCAATGGGACACATCCCAAAAGGGTTAATGTGTCGTCTATTTGTGGGTGTTGATAGTTGCCTTCTAGTTCTGTAAGTTAGTCTTAGAGCCCCATAGTAATGTATGGTAACTAAAGCTTCATAGCTCCGATTCCCCCCACAACTGTGTTTTTCTCCACTGTGTGAATTTGGCACTTGTTCTTTTCTGCCATGCAACATCTCTTTTGCTAAAAGTGTCATTCAAGGATACTGAATATATAACAGTATTTCTATTATCAAACACCTCTGTAAGATTAAGGTTCCCTATTCTCATTCATCAGGCACTCCTAACATTCTTGCAACAACTTCCCACTATTGCATTATGGTAATATTTCTCAAAAAAAAATTTTTTTTCAAGTCTGCTGTCTCCCACTGAGGCAGGGTGACCCAAAAAGAAAGAAAATCCCAAAAAAGAAAATACTTTCATCATCATTCAACACTTTCACCTCACTCATACATAATCACTGTCTTTGCAGAACAATTATCCTCTCAAAATTTCCTTAAACATTCTCTTAACACTTCTCAGAATTTCTCTCTACACTTTGCTCACCTCCATGTATACATAGTGACTATTAACAGCTAATCACATCCCAATTTTAATCTACAAACAACCATACTGAATTGCAAAAAACTTTCTATGCTTTGTGCAACTGTTCATATAACATCCAACATGCTCATATAGCATCCAAACTCTCTTGTCCATATTTTCATTACAGTCTATTTCCATTATATTTTAATCATTAAATTCAGGTAAATGGGAAATATTTTAAGAAAAACACACTCGTCAAGCTGTGTTCATGTTATAATGAAGAGAAAATTTTGAATATGCTGTTACATACAGAGTATTTGTAAAAATAAACAAGTAAAGTGTCATTATCACAATCACTTGGAGAAATGTGAATGAAAAGTATGCAGCAACATGATGAGAAGATTGTTAGGAGGAATGACTGTACAAGTTACAGAAGACTCAATAGACAATAAAACTTAAATAACCAACTAGATACTAGCTGGATAAATATACATTACCTCTAGTAAGGTGTCCCCTACAAGTCCTGCCAAAAGTTTATGCCCCTTCCTCTCAACCATTCGACTAGCATTCTCTGCTGCAAACATAGATGTAAAATCAAACATGGCAACATCAGGTTTCCCATAATGATTCACGGCAAAATCTAGATGAGGGAGTTGGTAATTTGTGGAAAAGTCAGCAGCCTCTCGTGCATAATCTAGCAGAGCACTGCGGTTCACATTGCTGGAGTGTAGAAGCTGCTGAGTGTCTGCCAAATCCTATGAAAAAAAACTCAAATTTTAATTCTCAAGTTCTTGAGTAAAGAATATGCCATTATTACAAGAATTTAATACTCAGCACATATTCATAATATTAAGAGATAAGAGTGCATACAAGAAAGATGCAGCTCAAGTGCTAGTACAAATGTATTACATCATTAAGTATATATTTCTTAAAATGTTTATATTTATTATCACACCACAAGCTCAGATACTTACATTTATTATCACACCCTTGTCGATAAGAGAGTGTTTTTTTGCAGTCATAACAAAGTAATGAGTTTCGTCCTTATAATAAACAATATTTTCTAAATCAATCCCTGTTGCTGCATAGAGTTCTTTGAAGAATTTTTGGTTAAAGATGAATGCTACTCCACTGATTTCCTGCAATTCAACAGAAAAAAGTAATAGTGAAACATTTACACATATAAACTTATAATTTTCAAAACACAAAGATTACACTACAAATTTCTTGGAAAACTGAACACTGAACTTGTATTGTGTACTGAACACTGAACTTGTAGACCAACTTGTAGACCACTTGGCTAAATGTGTTTAAAGGAAATGAACATCAGCTTGTGGACCCTGCCTCTTTACCAACAACCAATGGATGTGATGACTAAATACAAAGTAGTGGAAGACATAAAATATAATAACTTAGGTCATGTTTTGGTCCTGATAACTCCCTAGCCTTGAACAATTTGTCATATCTACTTCTGAATTTCTTAATGAAATTATGTTCCAGTGTTTCTTGTAGTGTGTTTCACTTATTCATTACTCTCTCACTCTGGCTCACTTGTCTTTACTGTTTAATGGTCTCCCCTCATAATGGGTCCAATCATTTTCAAATAGCTTTTCTTCTTAACCATTTCAATGCCTTGAATATCTTTTATGGCATGACCATGTCACTCATGAGTATTTTCCAGCAATCAAAGATCTAGACTTCTGAAGTCTTTTCTGCAATGGGTTTTTCCTTTTTTTTTTTTTTTACCTAACAGCAACACTTGCTAGTGAGACAGGTAAATGCTTTGAAGGGTCTTCCCTACACCCTTTCATAAATACAATATTGGTGCAACATTTCCTATTTTCCATTTGCTTGCCAATTTATAGTGATTTTTAAAGGAGGGGACAAAGGCTGTTAACCCTTCAAGTGTCCTGACCCCAGATCTGAAAATTGTCCAGTGTCCAGAAATTTTCCAAATTGATCTTTACTATTTCTTATGAAATGATAGAGAATCTTTTTGAAGGCAATAAAACAAAATACAAAATTTGATTGAAAATTAACAAAATTACGCTTTTGCAAATTTTGCTGCAACAGCGATATTTACGCATTGGCAATTTTGCCCACTTCGAGTCATTTAGGCCAATTACATTGTTCGAGTCGACCAAATTTGTAGCTGCATTGCTAGTATGTCTTCCATTTTATCAACTGAGCATAAAAAAGTGCCCAATCAACTGAGCACAAGAAAGTGCCCAATCAACTACCCAATTAACTGATCAGAAATTAGTAATTTGACCAATTTCACAAAAATTTCAAGGTGTGCCAATTCCAAAATAGAGTCCAGAATAAACGATACAGGCATTCCTGGCACTAAAATATTTCCTCTGTTCATTAGTTACGTTCCCAGGCTTTACACATGAATTCCATTTTGAATATATTTATTCACACAATAAAATAGAGATGTTAGTGTGAGCAGGGTAATATTTTGTGAAGGGATTCAGGGAAACTGGTTAGCCGGACTTGAGTCCTGGAAATGGGAAGTACAATGTCTGCACTTTAAAGGAGGGGTTTGGGATATTGGCAGTTTGGAGAGACATCTAAGATATCGTATCTGAGCGCCTGTGCAAAGACAGTGATTACGTATGAGTGATGATGAAAGTGACGAATAATGATGATTTTTTCTTTCTTTCTTTTTTGGGGATTTTCTTTCTTTTTGTTTCACCCTTCCTTGGTGGGAAACTGATGTGAAAAAAAAAAATAACTGTTATGCATTACAGTATTGTAATAATTGTATATATGACATCAGCACATGTGAATGCATATTAGACCGACCAGTTGGACACGTACTGGACGAGTGACATGATTTGTTTACCCTGGAATATCGGCAAAAATGTAATATTTCTGCTACCTGGAGCTCAATTTCAAGCTACTCCCAGTCCTAAATCCAATTAAAATCATTTATTTCTGTAAAATATCTTCCATTATATCAAATGATACCAAGAAACCAAGAATACAACCATAAAAACCATCTAAAAAATACATCACAAAGTCTACTATTTTAAACCCAAAAAACAGTCATAGTTTTTTCCCCATTATGCACTGAACGGGGCAGGATTACTTTCATACGGTGAACACTTACCGCATCTACCCATTCTCTCATATCTAGGCCAAAATTTACCGCTGACAGCTTATCTGAGTGAGCTGAGTTTATCATATAGTTCTATAGCATGGACAGAGACTACAAATCCGTAGAACTACAGCATGGACGATGAACGGGTTAAACATGTTATAATGAGGCACATGGACAGCATTATAATATATATAAATATATATTATTGTAACCATGAACGAGTGGTATTGATCAATAACAACACTGCGCTAGCCAAGGATTCAAACCCATGTTGTACTGGCCTGCCTCATGGTAAGCGAGAACTACACAATGCTTTTAAACCACAGGACCACCCAACCCTACAAGAATGGCGCAGCCAGCAATGCTAGCTGTTGGGCTGCCATCCAAGGGCATACGGAGGTGTGGGAGCTTCTAAGCTAATTTCATTCTCATCCCTGTTTGGTGTACTAGCTTCACGAGCAGCATTTATATATTATTGTAACCACGAACGAGTGGTATTGATCAATTAGCTTAGAAGCTCCCACACTTCCGTATGCCCTCGGATGGTGACCCAACAGCTAGCGTTGCTGGCTGCGCCATTCTTGTAGGGTTGGGTGGTCCTGTGGTTTAAAAGCATCATGTAGTTCTCGCTTACCATGAGGCAGGCCAGTACAACATGGGTTCGAATATTTGGCTAGCGCAGTGTTGTTATTGATCAATACCACTCGTTCGTGGTTACAATAATATATAAATGCTGCTCGTGAAGCTAGTACACCAAACAGGGATGAGAATGAAATTAGCTTAGAAGCTCCCACATCTCCGTATGCCCTCGGATGGCGGCCCAACAGCTAGCACTGCTGGCTGCGCCATTCTTGTAGGGATGGGTGGTCCTGTGGTTTAAAAGCGTCATGTAGTGCTAGCTTACCATGAGGCAGGCCAGTACATGGGTTCGAATTCTTGGCTAGCGCAGTGTTGTTATTGATATAAATATATATACTTGCACATAGGTAGTAGGTTGGTAGATAGCAACCACCCAGGGAGGTATTACCGTCCTGCCAAGTGAGTGTAAAATGAAAGACTGAAATTGTTTTACATGATGGTAGGATTGCTGGTGTCTTTTGTCTGTCTCATAAATATGCAAGATTACAGGTATGTCTTGCTACTTCTACTTACACTTAGGTCACACTACACATACGTGTACAAGCATATATATACACACCCCTCTGGGTTTTCTTCTATTTTCGTTCTAATTCTTGTTCTTGTTTATTTCCTCTTATCTCCATGGGGAAGTGGAACAGAATTCTTCCTCTGTAAGCCATGCATGTCGTAAGAGGCAACTAAAATGCCGTGAGCATGGGGCTAGTAACCCTTTCTCCTGTATATATTACTAAATTTAAAAGGAGAAACTTTCATTTTTTCTTTTGGGCCACCCCGCCTCGGTGGGATACAGCTGGTACGTTGAAAGAAGAAAGATATATACTTGCACATAGGTAGTAGGTTGGTAGACAGCAACCACCCAGGGAGGTACTACCGTCCTGCCAAGTGAGTGTAAAACAGAAACCTATAATTGTTTTACATGATGGTAGGATTGCTGGTGTCTTTTTTCTGTCTCATAAACATGCAAGATTTCAGGTATGTCTTACTACATCTACTTACACTTAGGTCACACTACACATACATGTACAAGCATATATATACACACACCCCTCTGGGTTTTCTTCTATTTTCTTTCTAGTTCTTGTTCTTGTGTATTTTCTCTTATCTCCATGGGGAAGTAGAAGAGAATTCTTCCTCTGTAAGCCATGCATGTCGTAAGAGACAATTAAAATGCCGGGAGCAAGGGGCTAGTAACTCCTTCTCCTGTGTATATTACTAAATGTAAAAGAAGAAACTTTCATTTTTCCTTTTGAGCCACCCCGCCTAGATCATTAGTTTCATAAAGAAAGCACTGAAAAAAGAGATTTTCTGGTGTTTTTCTATGATTTCATGCTTTAATTCAATGGACATCATCCTCTTCTTCTCAGCACTGTCCTTTGCATTTGATTCTTAGGACCCATGGTTAGAAAAAAGAAATTTGGCAAAAATAACTGCACAAAAAAGCACAAAATGCTGGGCGGATGTTGTGGTGTCTGCTGCGCCAACTAGTGGCGGCGTACCTGAAGCTTGCGTGTAACTCTGATTTTGGCTCGACTCAAAGCAAAAAAATCGACCAAGCGACAGCTCATAACTTAAAAATTCCTAAGCTGGGGCACTCGTAACTCACGGTACCACTGTATATATACATATATATATATATATACACACACATACACACCCTTCTGAACTTTCTTCTATTTTCTTACTAGTTCTTGTTCTTGTTTATTTATCTCCATGGGAAAGTAGAACAGAATTCTTCCTCCGCAAGCCATGCGCGTCGTAAGAGGCGACTAACATGCTGGAAGCAATGGACTAGTAACCTCTTCTCCTGTACACATTACTAAAGTTAAAAAGAGAAGCTTTTGTTTTTTCTTTCTGGGCCACCCTGCTTCAGTGGGATATGGCTGGTGCCTTGAAAGAAGGAAAAAAAAAAGTCGTTTAAACTTTACCCATACAGACCATACACAAAAAGATTCTGAAAAACAACTTTCTCTAACAAAAAGAATCCATAAAAATAAAATAAAACAAATACTTCGTTTAGTCAGAGGGCAGAAGAGGGGTTGTTGAGGTGGTTTGGTCATTTAGAGAGAATGGATCGAAGTAGAATGACATGGAAAGCATATAAATCTATAGGGGAAGGAAGGCGGGGTAGGGGTCGTCCTCGAAAGGGTTGGAGAGAGGGGGTAAAGGAGGTTTTGTGGGCAAGGGGCTTGGACTTCCAGCAAGCGTGCGTGAGCGTGTTAGATAGGAGTGAATGGAGACGAATGGTACTTGGGACCTGACGATCTGTTGGAGTGTGAGCAGGGTAATATTTAGTGAAGGGATTCAGGGAAACCGGTTATTTTCATATAGTCGGACTTGAGTCCTGGAAATGGGAAGTACAATGCCTGCACTTTAAAGGAGGGGTTTGGGATATTGGCAGTTTGGAGGGATATGTTGTGTATCTTTATATGTGTATGCTTCTAGACTGTTGTATTCTGAGCACCTCTGCAAAAACAGTGATAATGTGCGAGTGTGGTGAAAGTGTTGAATGATGATGAAAGTATTTTCTTTTTGGGGATTTTCTTTCTTTTTTGGGTCACCCTGCCTCGGTGGGAGACGGCTGACTTGTTGAAGAAAAAAAAAAAAAAAAAAAAAAAAAAAAAAAAACTTCGTTTACACTTTTTTTAAGATATCACAAAAAAGTGACAATCAAACAGGAATGATCAGTCCAAGAACTTTCTTGGGCTGATCATTGGGCTATCTCTTTGATGTGTGCTTAGGCACAGCTCTGCCAATTTTCTTTGCCCCAGGAGGCTAAAAATTAGACCCCCAAATATTGCTTTTAACAATGACCAACAGAATGCTACACTGCATATTTAAAATATAAGCTTTCATTTTATTAACTTAAATGCATGTCTGAAGTATCAAAGCAATGTTAGAAAGCAATCTTAAGATATCACACAGAAACAAGATGGAAAAAAGCAGAAGCAGATAAAAACAAACTAACAACCACACTCCCTGATTAAGATACTAAATGTACATATGACCCAGTACTACGTAAAAACAGGACATTACTTACTTGAACTCTAGCTTCTGCCTCAGTTCTTTTATTGATGAAATTAGCTGTTATGGCAATGGCTAGCTTTCCACGAAATTCCTTACGCTTGAAGCCATGGAGAGTGTTTCTCTTGCCATCAGCACCAAATAATACATCAAATTCGTACTGATTGGCCGGATGGTCTGGTGGACTTAATCTTGCTCGCCAACCAATCTCTAAATAGATAAAAAAAAAAAAAAGGTGTCCAACATACAAAAGTAGGTTGAATTTTAATAATCAAAAGATAACAGGCAATGGTTATAAGAAAATGCACTGAAAAACTTTAAATCAAACAAGATTAATTTCAACTTGAGGGAAAAAAAAATAGATTTATAAAGTGGCTCAGGTTGTGACCATATTGTATATTTGAAGTCATACTGTAGTCCCATATGACCAGGAATAGATGTGCTGACATCACAATTCAGATCACACTTTGACTGCAACATCCCCATTCCCACCCCCTCCTTCAGACTGCAAGCACTACCTTTCCCACCTCCAGGATTAGAGTCCAGCTAACTGGTTCCCTGAATCCCTAAAGATATGTTAACTCACTCACGCTCTAGTAGCACATACACTAAAATCCACTCTTGTCCATTCATATATAATATTTATACAATGCAAGCACAGTATTCACTCGCCTCCAAAACTCAAATCCAGGTAAACCAGTTTCCTTGACTCCCTTCATAAATGTTATCTTGTCACACTAACATCAAGTCCCAAAAATCATACCTTCAAGTGCAAGCAGTAGTAACATTTATGAAGGAATTCATGGAAACTGGTTAACCAGACTTTAGTTCAACAGGTATAGTGCCTGTACTTAAAAGAGGGGTAGTGACACTGTAGTTTGGAGGGCAGTGTGAACTCTGATGTTGGAATGCTTCTAGCTAGACAGTGACTGAACAAATCATGGTGAAAAATTATTCCTTTTCTTTTGGAGGGGGAGAGGGGGTTGGCAGTCACCCTGCCTCAGTGGGAGATGGCCAGTGTTTAAAAACGTACATCCATATGTTTATGATATTTGGGACATGACACGCTGTTTGAGTGTAAACAAGATAGCATTTCTATAGCAATTTTGGAAAAGCTGGTTAACCTGGATTGAAGATTTGGAGGTGGGTAAGTACAGTGTTTGTACTCTGAAGGATAGGTGAGGATGTTACAACTCAAAAGGATATTTGAATTGTGATATCTGATACTTCTGACAAAAATAGCTATTGAATAAATGATGGTCAATGTGTCTCCTCCTTTGGGTCACCCTAACTGGACAGCAAACAGCTGTGATAAAACTTTAATATAAATAATTACTAACTTTCCTCTTGATCTGCTGGTGGTTCAACCAGTTCCTCGAAGGTCACCGACTCGAATACTTCAACACCCAACAGCAAAGCCACTTTCAGCAAAATGCACTGAAGTTGCCGGATGCCTAAAAGAAGAAAAGAAAAAAAAGTGGAAAACTTTAATGATCAATGAAGGTTTATATCTTCAGTTATGTTACCCTAATAAAAAAGTAGGGATGTAATACATATATTAGAAGATATTGCAACTCAATGTACCTTCTCCAAATACAAGAGAATTGCCAATAGACCTCTAATTGTCTTCAAGAGGAAACTGGTAAGTGTCTCAAAGCAGTTCTTGATGAGCTGGGCTGTGGTGTCTACATTGGATTGTGTGAAGTGAACACCAACACCTAACTGACTAGGCCATCAACCACAAGGCTACAGTAATGATGATCCAGGAACCATCAACAAGTAAATGATAGATGTACATCCACTTTCTTGTCTTTTCTGAGAAAACACTAACTTTCCAATAATTTTTTTTTGTAGAATTATACATGACATTTTGTTTCCTTGCAAAGGAAAAACTTGTTAAAGTAAGATTCAATTACACAACTTCAAGGTACTGCACTGGAAGGTAGGAAAAATGTCAGTCTTCCAATAGTTGTCTAGTATAAATGTGAAAAACGATAAGGATAGAATGACCCACTTACTTATGTGATCAATAGCTCCTGCACAGAATTTTCCATAAAATTTCTTTGCTCCCAGCTGCTTAAGGTCAGAGATTACAAATGGCCAGAGATGGAGAACATTATTACGTGACAACCGATCTCGTTTCTCCACCACCACAACTTTAGCACCCAATAGCTGACATTCTATTGCCGAGCGCAAACCGCAAGGTCCAGCACCAATGATTAAAACCTGTAGAAATTAAACTGTTGCATATTACTGAAAATAATACAGTATACCCAGATAAAAGAATGAAATTTACATGATAATACACAAAACATTTCTCTTCATATCATTTGATGAAATAAATATTTAAGAAATGATACTAAACAATTAGAAGTACAACACAACTGTAGAAGCATTGGCAATTTAAATACGTTCAGTGTTATTTAACCCTTTGAGGGTCCGTGCCGTAGATCTACAGCTATACGTTGAGGGTCCAAACCGTAGATCTACGCCATGAGCTCAGCTCACTCTGATAAACTGCGAGTGGTAAATTTGGGCCTAAATATTTGAGAATACATCTATGTGGTATGTGTGCACCACGTAAAACAAATCCTGCAGCACACAGTGCATAATGAGAGAAAAAACTGAGACCGTAATTTTTTATTAAAACAACAATTTGCAGTGTTTTTCGTATGTTTTTTATAGTTGTATTTGCGATTTCTTGGTCTCATTTGATAGAATGGAAGATATATTACAGAAATAGAGATGATTTTGATTGGTTTTAGTAATGGAAATGGCTTGAAACTGAGCTCAAAATAGCAGAAATGTTAAATTTTTGCCGATGTTCAAGAGTAAACAAATGATCCCACATGTCTAATACATGCCAGTTGGTGGATCTAATATACGTTCACAAATGTGGTGATATGATTTATACAATTATTACAGTATATTGCATAACAGTAAATCTTCTATTTTTTGGTTTGAATAAAAATTCATTGTGAATAAAAAATCAAAATGGAATTCATTTGTAAAGCCTGAAAACATAACTAATGAACAGAGGAAATGTTAGTTTAGTGCCAGGAATGCCTGTGTTGTTTATTCTGGACCCTATTTTGAAATTAGAATATTTTGAACTTTCCGTTAAATTGGCCAAATTACCAATTTTCAATCACTTTATTTTGTAGTTGAAACAGTTGACTTCGCGATTTCTTGTGCTCAATCGATAGAATAGAAGTAATACTAGTGAAATAGCTAAGAATTTAGTCGACTGGAATAATATAATTGGCCCAAAATTGGAGTCAAAGTCGGCAAAAATCGCCGATGCTTAGTATCGCTGACACATCAAAATTCGCGAGTGTAATTTCGTAAATTTTCCATCAAATTTCGTACTTTTTGTTTTATTACCTTCAGAAAAAGATTCTCTACCATTTCATAAGAAAAAATAACAAAATTATTTTTTGAAAATTCTTGGACACTAGCGCACACTTTGAAATTTGGCCTTTGGACCCTGAAAGGGTTAAGTCAACTTGCTAGGTAAATATAACCTAACCTTAAGATCTATTAATCATACCATTATTTAGTATGAAATGTATTACAAGATAATATTTACTCTCAATATTGTATAAATTCAAAAAGTTAAGTTTTTGTGCAGTAATAGCTTAAGTTTACCTGAAACTTGTGAGCATACTATAGGTTCTACCTTTGCACTGAACTCATCAAACTGCATTTTAACAAAAAATCAAAACTCAACAAGTATTGTGTTAATAATATAAAGAATTGTTATCATTTATTCTGACAACACATAAATTTACTATTAAACTCTGTAGCTAATTTGTTAAAACTTCCACTTAAAAGAAAAATGAAATCAAGATAGAATCAAAGCATGTAAATTCTAACTCACTTTGCTGTTACTGCAAGCCTTGCCATGGTTGTAACATTTATGACTAGCTCGCTTGTCAAACTTACTCCATAAAGCTTGAGCTTTCCATGAGCGAAGTTTGGACTGAAAAATAAAACATTTCACTAAGAAATAAACTAATACTGTTATGCATGTGAAAATTAAATATGAATGTCTAAAGTTCCTCAACAAATTAGTATTTTACTGTATACCTATGCCATTTCATATTAAATTTACAACTGTACTACATGTCTACCAACACTTCATATTATATACTGTAAAAGACAGGAGAGATACAAAAGTATACCTCCATGCCAGCAGTCCTCCATTCTTCTAAGGATGTAATGTAATCCCATCAGGGTGGCAGGCGGGCACATCTAAGGTGCTGGGTAGTAAAGATGAAGGTTCTCTCTCAGCCAGGCACAGGGCTGTAGCAAGGCTTTTCATCATGCTCTTGCTGACTCCATTGTGTCTAACATGCCAATCTTTGGAACTTTAAAGTTCAGACCATGCAAACCATATTGGTCAAGTCAAAACTTGACAACAGTCCAGGAGGAACCCAAATATTATCATACAGTTTCTCTCCTAGGTACGGATTTTGATGAACTGTTCCAGCCATGGTATTGTGGCTTTTTACTCTTTATCCTGTTAATATGCACACTGGAATTTCTATAAAGAAAATCAACAGCAAAATATTAAAAAGTTAAAAAAATATATACCTACCTTTAATTTAGGATAAAAGCTTCTAATATTAGTAGGTTTGAGCCTGAGAACATCACATAATTGACGGTAGTGGTAGAGGACCGACTTAAAGGTGCTGGCTGCACACAACTGCTCAAAAATGTCAGCAGCTGCAGCACTGTCTGGTGATGGAGCTCCCGGCTTGTTGTGGTGGTGGTGGGATGAATACATTGTGGCTCTGTTAACAAGAATTTCAGTTTATCAGAGAATGTTAAATCAGGCTAAATAAACAGGAAAGCAGACTTTCTTTGTATTACTATTTATGGAATCTTAAATTTAGCATAACCCTGTACATGACCAAATTGATCAACACCCAATAAGTGTAAGCCAAATGTTTCTAAAAGCTAAAAATAGTTTTAAAGTGTAATAAAGAAACAAGACAACACAAATTTTGTGTGGGTGATCTCACAGTTTTTCCACAACCTTTCACACCCAATGATTGACAAGTCTCTCTCAAGTACATTAATACTTCATGATTAATAAAAAATGTTTTTACAGATGTTCTTCATTTTTCTCTCTTTCATTATCGTACATTACCCACAACACCCAAAATAACTGTTGGTGATACTGGAAGACAAAAGGGATAGAGAAAAAGATGTAATAGATAAAATAGTTTTTGATGATTATATGCTTACAAACTACTGTATGGTTGTCTCGGTAAATTTACAAACTTCCTTATTCGCAAGTCTTAATTATCCAATATTTTACTAATGCGCAACCAGTGAATGGATTCAATTACCCCATTTTTTTTTCTCTTTCTGGCTTTTCCATGGCCAAATATCTTTCCATTCTGGTTACTATTTCCAAGGAAAGTTAGTATACTAATATAAGTAAATTAGAGGTGTGTATTACAGAGACATGCTCTCAGAAAAACAAAATTAACCAAAAGCTGAAACAAAATTTGCTATGTACATTTAACTGCATATTATTTGAGTTTCTAATAACATCTAAAAATGTAGCCCCCCCTTGCCCTGGTCAATTTATAGGGATAACTGTAAATAGCTGGAGTAAAATATCTGGACATTCAATGCATTCCATGGATCTATCATTTAACCCTTTCAGGGTCCAAAGGCCAAATTTCAAAGTGCGTACCAGTGTCCAAGAATTTTCAAAAAATATTTTTTTTATTTTTTCTTATGAAATGGTAGAGAATCTTTTTCTGAAGGTAATAAAACAAAAAGTACGAAATTTGATGGAAAATTGACGAAATTATGCTCTCGCGAATTTTGATGTGTCAGCGATATTAAGCATCGGCGATTTTGCTGACTTTGACTCCTATTTGAGGCCAATTATATTACTCCAGTCAACCAAATTCTTAGCTATTTCACTAGTATTACTTCTATTCTATCGAGTGAGCACAAGAAATCACCAAGTCAACTGTTTCAACTACAAAATAAAGTGATTGAAAATTGGTAATTTCGCCAATTTAACGGAAAGTTCAAAATATTCTAATTTCAAAATAGGGTCCAGAATAAACAATGCAGGCATTCCTGGAACTAAACTAACATTTCCTCTGTTCATTAGTTACGTTTTCAAGCTTTACAAATGAATTCCGTATTGATTTTTTATTCACAATGAATTTTTATTCAAACCAAAAAATAGAAGATTTACCGTTATGCAATACTGTAATAATTGTATAAATAATATCACCACATTTGTGAACGTAAATTAGACCCACCAGCTGGCATGTATTAGACGTGTGGGATCATTTGTTTACTCTCGAACATCGGCAAAAATTTAACATTTCTGCTATTTTGACCTCAGTTTCAACCCATTTCCATTACTAAAACCAATCAAAATCATCTCTATTTCTGCAATATATTTTCCATTCTATCAAATGAGACCAAGAAATCGCAAATACAGCTATAAAAAACATACGAAAAGACACTGCAAAGTCACTGTTTTAATATAAAATTACGGTCTCAGTTTTTTCTCTCATTATGCACTGTGTGCTGCAGGATTTGTTTTATGTGGTGCACACATACCACATAGATGTATTCTCTCATATCTAGGCCCAAATTTACCACTCACAGCTTAGAGAGAGCTGAGCTAATGGCGTAGATCTATAGTTTGGACCCTCAACGTATAGCCGTAGGTCATTGGCACGGACCCTCAAAGGGTTAAACATTCTTATATTTAGACTGAATATGAACAGTGCATATGATAGTGTCTACTGCTAGTAGTAGTAATTTGATAATGGATTATTTATCCTGTCTGCAGTTTAGTAAGATAGACATGTTACATGAAACGGAGCATTCAAAAGGCACTTCATAATTAGTGACTTTCTTTCGTGCCTACCAATGTTTTATTACATGTAAACTACATTATTTGTGCTGCATAAAGAAATAAAAAATTGTATTTATTGTATCTGGTTGATCTGGCACTTGATGAAGATACTTGTCCAGCTACCTCTCGAAGACTTCTACAATTGCCCCAGCAGTGTTTCTGATTTATATTTTTATTATCACACTAGCCGATTCCCACCAAGGCAGGGTGGCCCAAAAAAGAAAAACTTTCACCATCATTCACTACATCACTGTCTTGCCAGAAGGGTGCTTTACACTACAGTTTTTAAACTGCAACATTAACACCCCTCCTTCAGAGTGCAGGCACTGTACTTCCCATCTCCAGGACTCAAGTCCGGCCTGCCGGTTTCCCTGAACCCCTTCATAAATGTTACTTTGCTCACACTCCAACAGCACGTCAAGTATTAAAAACCATTTGTCTCCATTCACTCCTATCAAACACGCTCACGCATGCCTGCTGGAAGTCCAAGCCCCTCGCACACAAAACCTCCTTTACCCCCTCCCTCCAACCTTTCCTAGGCCGACCCCTACCCCGCCTTCCTTCCACTACAGATTGATACACTCTTGAAGTCACTCTGTTTCGCTCCATTCTCTCTACATGTCCGAACCACCTCAACAACCCTTCCTCAGCCCTCTGGACAACAGTTTTGGTAATCCCGCACCTCCTCCTAACTTCCAAACTACAAATTCTCTGCATTATATTCACACCACACATTGCCCTCAGACATGACATCTCCACTGCCTCCAGCCTTCTCCTCGCTGCAACAGTCATCATCCATGCTTCACACCCATATAAGTGCGTTGGTAAAACTATACTCTCATATATTCCCCTCTTTGCCTCCAAGGACAAAGTTCTTTGTCTCCACAGACTCCTAAGTGCACCACTCACCCTTTTCCCCTCATCAATTCTATGATTCACCTCATCTTTCATAGACCCATCCGCTGACACGTCAACTCCCAAATATCTGAATACATTCACCTCCTCCATACTCTCTCCCTCCAATCTGATATCCAATCTTTCATCACCTATCTTTTTGTTATCCTCATAACCTTACTCTTTCCTGTATTCACTTTTAATTTTCTTCTTTTGCACACCCTACCAAATTCATCCACCAATCTCTGCAACTTCTCTTCAGAATCTCCCAAGAGCACAGTGTCATCAGCAAAGAGCAACTATGGCAACTCCCACTTTATGTTTGATTCTTTATCTTTTAACTCCACGCCTCTTGCCAAGACCCTCGCATTTACTTCTCTTACAACCCCATCTATAAATACAGTGGACCCCCGCATAACGATATTATTTCAATCCAGAAGTCTGTTTGGGTGCCGTTATAGACCGAATTTGTTCCCATAAGAAATATTGTGAATTAGATTAGTCCTTTTCAGACCCCTAAAAATACACCTACAAAAGCACTTACAAAAATAAACTTACATAATTGGTCGAGTTGGGAGCTGATCGTTATCCAGGGGTCCACTGAATATTAAACAACCACGGTGACATCACACATCCTTGTCTAAGGCCTACTTTTACTGGGAAATAATTTCCCTCTTTCCTACATACTCTAACTTGAGCCTCACTATCCTCGTAAAAACTCTTCACTGCTTTCAGTAACCTACCTCCTACACCATACACCTGAAACATCTGCCACATTGCCCCCCCCTATCCACCCTGTCATATGCCTTTTCCAAATCCATAAATGCCACAAAGACCTCTTTAGCCTTATCTAAATACTGTTCACTTATATGTTTCACTGTAAACACCTGGTCCACACACCCCCTACCTTTCCTAAAGCCTCCTTGTTCATCTGCTATCCTATTCTCCGTCTTACTCTTAATTCTTTCAATAATAACTCTACCATACACTTTACCAGGTATACTCAACAGACTTCTCCCCCTATAATTTTTGCACTCTCTTTTGTCCCCTTTGCCTTTATACAAAGGAACTAGGCATGCTCTCTGCCAATCCCTTGGTACCTTACCCTCTTCTTATATCTTCTGATAAAATGTTAAATAGTCTGTAGGCACGGATGTTGATACAACGTTCTCTTATTGTACCCACAACGCCCCTGCTTTCACTGCGTTCATTCTGCACTTTTCATATCTCTCACTCCAGTATGTCGTTACTGCAGTGTGCAGAATTGGGACGGCTCTCAAGAGCTCTTGATGTATGTATTATCATGCATCTCTCTCTTCTCCACTCTCTGAGGGATTCCCAGTAATTTAAATGCTTTATTGGCTCTATGTAATAACATTTTTTTTATTTCAGCATGATACAATGTTTGTACAGAGGTAGGCAACATTTAGGTGTGCATGCAGAAAGTCCATTGTTATGCAGAGCATTTCGGGCAAATGTGACTATAAATGATTTCCATCTTTTCCAGCTCTGATCTCTCTTCTGCCCTAAACAGGGCTGTCAATGCTGAGCACTATTCTAAATGAGAGTACAGGTGATTCGAAGAGTGTCACCACTGGCACTATTTCCCTCGTTTTGAAAGTTCTTATTATCCACCCTGTCATCTTCCTGGTTCCAGTGACATTTGCTTTATTGTGGTCTTTGAAAGGAAGGTCAGCCAACATAATTACTCCTGGGTCAGGTGTTTGTGGGTACTGATGGCGCTGCATCGGTGTTGAGGGTTAGGAAGCATATTATCCTGGGACGGGATTGTGAGTACTGGTGGTGCTGCATCAATGTTGAGGGTTAGAGAGCATACTACCCCAGGTCAGGTGGCCCATAGCCTGGTGGCAAAAGCTCTCACTTCACACCGAGGTGCCCAGGTTCGATTCCCAGCGAGGGTTGAAACATTGGGCGTGTTTCCTTACACCAGTTGTCTATGTTCACCCATCAGTATCAAATGGGTACCTGGGTATTAGCCGATTGGTGTGGGTCACATCCTGGGAAAAATGGGCTGAATTTGCCCAAAATGTTCTGCATAACAAGGGGCTTTCTACATACAGTGGACTCCCGAGTTTTGTGATTAACCTGTTCCAGAGAGTCTGCCGAATGGCAGAATTCACGAATGGTGAAACCATTTTCCCAATAAGAAATGATGTAAATCCAATTAATCTGTTTCAGACACCCAAAAGTATTAACAAAAAAATTTTTTTTTTACAAATTAAATATAGATTTACATACAGAAAACAATGACAAATAAATATAAAGCACTAATGAAAGGGATATATGAACATTTAACATCACACTTACCTTTACTGAAGACTCTTGTTGGTGTATGGAAGACAGGTAGGAGGGGAGAGGGAGGAGAGTTTATTATGCTTCAATATGACGCTATCATCATCTCTACGGCTTATTTATCTATCACAATTCATCTAATATAACTTTTTTTTCTTTCTTTCAACACACCGGCCGTATCCCACCAAGGCAGGGTGGCCCAAAAAGAAAAATGAAAGTTTCTCTTAAATGTATTACGTAATTTATACGGGAGAAGGGGTTTCTAATGACATAATAAACAATATTAATAACAGAAACATGATACATGTATATACTGTAGAATGAATAAAATATGTCATAATATACGTGAGGAGTAAGTAGTAGTGGTGGGTGGTGGTGGCGGCGGTGGTGGTGGCAGTGGTGGCGGTGGTGGCGGTGGTAGCGGTGGTGGCGGTGGGGGGTTATAAGGGCCACTGAGAGAAGTCATACATATTAGTGGTAGTGGAGGCAGCAGCAGAAGCCACCACCACTATTCACACAAACAATATACGTAATTTATGAATAAGAAATATTTACATTTACCTTGGAGGAGCTGTTAGTTTAATTAGCTAGTCTGATGGAGGAGATGCTGGCAGAGGTTTAGGGTGGTGGAAGATAGCAGGGTGGCATATGTTCAGTGGCCCTATACACCAACAACATTGGAGAGTTACTTTAGTGTCGTTTTTCTATCGCTTAATCGCTTAACTTACTTCATACACTGTTAGTGCTACACTTTATCGCTGGCTGGCGCTATAGCCTTTATCGATACCTGCTGCTTTAGTATCATACATATCACAGAATCACTGAAGACACATTCTCCCCTCTCTTCCTCATCCACTTTGGTACTTTGATACGAGTTTTTTCTTGAATTCTATCATGTTTCTTTCCCTCTTTACCAAAGGGCTTGCACTTTGAGCTTTCTTTGTTGGCTTATTTAGCAGTTGCACGCAAAAAAGACAATGGATTATTAGGAAATGTATCATATGAACCCATGGGGTGATGGTCACTCACCCAAAAATCATGCCACACTGACTCTCTGAATGTTGTGTGGGAACCTTTGTGTACACCCGGCCGCACGAATGCACCCCATACGACGGATGAATCGCAAGGCAAATCATGAACCGTGAGGCTTTATTTTGACGAAAAAAGTTGCCCAAAGTCAAAATTCACGAAGCACAAGGCTCACGAAACTCGAGGGTTCACTGTAGTAGAATGTCATCTAGGCCTGCATGCTTTGTACATGTACTTGTAGAAATAAAGAAATTATTATTATTATTATGTATTATTATTTGCGAGTACTGGTGGTGCCGCATCAATGTTGAGGGTTAAGGCTCATAATATACTATCCTGGGTCAGGTGTTGGTATATCATGTAGTCCCGTATAATCGCCATGTACGGATACCCACACCATAGCCATTAACCATTCTCACGACTTGGGTATGTTGGGTTCATGTCACTGACCCCAACTTTTCAAACGCCTTGGGCAAGTCCACTAATACCTCAGGATCATGATGTAGCTACTGACGAGGGACAACGTGGAGCGAGTACTGGCAGCAGCACTGCGTCAGTGTTAACCCTTTCAGGGTTTCGGACGTACTAGTACGGCTTACGCACCAGGGTTTTTGACATACTAGTATGCCTAAATTCTAGCGCCCTCAAATCTAGTGAGAGAAAGCTGGTAGGCCTACATATGAAAGAATGGGTCTATGTGGTCAGTGTGCGCAGTATAAAAAAAATCCTGCAGCACACAGTGCGTAATGAGAAAAAAAAAACTTTGACCGTGTTTTTGGATTAAAACAGCGACTTTGCACTGTATTTTCGTATGGTATTTATTGTTGTATTCTAGTTTTCCTGGTCTCATTTTATAGAATGGAAGACATATTACAGAAATTGAGATGATTTTGACTGGTTTTACAATGAAAAGTACCTTGAAATTGAGCTCAAAGTAGCAGAAATGTTCGATTTTCACCAAAGTTCAAAAGTAAACAAATCATGCTAAGCGTCCAATACACGTCAACTGGTGAGGAATATTCTTTCACAAGTGCAACGATATTATTTATACCATTTCTACACTAATGCAGTAGTCTGCATAACAGTAAATCTTCTATTTTTTTGCGAGAATAAAAATTCAAAGTGGAAAGCAAAAGAATGTAAGAGGGGCATGGGGACGTGACTAATGAACAGAGGAAATGTTATTTTAGTGCCAGGAATGTCTTTCTTGTTTATTCTGGACCCTATTTGGAAATTGACATCTTTTGAAATTTGTGTGAAATTGGCAAAATAGCTAAATTCTGACCACTGTATTGGATAGTTGAAATCGGTAAATGGATGGTTTCTTGTACTCATTCGATGGAAAAAATGGAGTTCTAGCGAAATAGTTATGATTTTTCTCGACTAGTACACTGGAATTGGCCGAAAATAGGGCTTAAAGTGGGCAAAATCACCAATCATAAACATCGTCGAGACCACTAACTTCGCGAGCGCATAATTCCGTAACTTTTCCATCAAATTTCATACTTTTGGTGTCATTATGATCGGGAAAAGATTCTCTATCTTTTCATAAGAAAAAAAATAATTTTTTTTTTATTTGGGCGACCCTGAAAACAAGTCTGGGAGAGGGCCTGGGGACCCTGAAAGGGTTAAGGGCTAGGGAGTGTACAATTCCAGGGCAGGTGTTTGTGAGTACTGGCCTGGTGGTGGTGGTGGTGATGGTTGCAAGTGTAGAGGGCTAATGAGCATACTATCCTGGGGCAGGTGTTTGCGAGTATTTGCCTGGTGGTGGTGATAGGGAGAATTGGAGCTGCCTCGCATGGATCAGTGGACCTGTTGCAGTGTTCCTTATTTCTTATGATCTTATGTTCTTATGAGGGCAAATATTCTATTAATGGGGTGGATTTGTGAAGGATCTGCCTAGTATGGGCCAACAGGCCTGCTGCAGTGTTCCTCCTTTCTTATGTTCTTATGTTGTGAGTGTAGAGGGCTAGAGAGCATACTATCCTGGGGCAGGTGTGAGAGTGCTGACCTGGTGGTGGTTGTGAAGTATGAGTGTAGAGCATCCTAGCCTGGGGCAGGTGTTTGTGAGCACTGACCTGGTGGTGGTGGTGGTTGTGAGGTGTAAGTGTGGAGGGCTAGAGAGCGTCCTAGCCTGGGGCAGGTGTGCAGTGCTTAGCCCCGATCCCACTTACATCTTACACGCACCATCCTGCACATACAACCTGCAACATACAAACATTTAGAATTCATTTCCACACTATACACACACACACACACAAAAATGCATCTATCGTGTATAATGAATAATTGGGTAAGGTATATAAACAATTCTGATTTTTTTTTTTTTTGCCATCAAATGTAAGGGGCATTACCAATATATCTGTAAAAACATTCAAGGGAAAATTTAACTAGCTCCTAAGGCAATTCCTGATCAGCCAGGCTCTAACGCCTATGTTAAACTATGAGCCGCAAGCCCCAATAACCAAGAGCACTGGTGTCTAATCTTTATTAGCTTGTGCACCCCCAAACTAATTTGTCCTAACCCACACACCCTATCTCATTAATTTATTGATAAAAAATTAATTAGCATCCAAAATATTTCAAATGCACATTTATTGAAGATTTATATAACCAAACAGCAATAAGCAATAGACAGCAATAAACAGCAACAGCAATAAGAATTCTCTATTTGGCTGAAGTTAACTTACAAAACATTGCTTAGCAAGATCTTAGCAGAAGAAAATAAACACTTAAGTGAGACTTTCTAGTTTCACATTTTACTCATAAGCAAGTTGAAGCAGCAGCAGTGAGGTCTGGCTTGATGAGCAAACAATGCTTAGTAAACTTGGTTTTAACATAAGCTTCGTTGGTTATTTTTCCAGGATTCTTAATATGTGTATTCCATAATTTATCTATGTAATTTTTTAATAGAACAAATATAATATTCAGTCAGACTTGGACCACTGGCATGTCATAATGAAGGAAGGGGGAAGAAGGGAAGGAGAATGGTAGCGGTAACATTGAAAGTGGTAGAAGTTGTAAAGCAGCAGTGGTAGAAGCAGAAGCAGAAAAAAGAAGGTAGCAGAAGCAGTATGAATAACTTTTTATTCTTCAGTATAAAATACTACTGTGCTAGGCCTGCGGCCTGGTCTCAGACCGGGCCGCAGGGGAGTTGACCCCCGAAACCCTCTCCAGGTAAACTCCCAAGAAGTGAACGCATCCTGGCCTAGAGTAACCGAGCTATCAACTAGGAAGCCTGGTTCAAGACGGAGCAATAAGGGAGATGATCCCCAGAGCTATCAACAGATAAACTCGTATCAAACAAGTATCATTGTCCTTCACTTGCTAATATCACCGTTTCTTTGATTTTTGCCACCGAAGTGGTTAGTGCAATCTATATCCACTCTATGGACGGTACGCTTAAGACTGAGACACTTGTGCAACATATAGGAATCTTTATTGAGGAAACGTTTTGCCACACAGTGGCTTATCAGTTCAATACAAAGCAGAAAAGTGTAAGGAGAGGAGGAGCTTGAGGTAATCAGGCCCTCAACCTGGAATCGATGAGTTCAGTCCATCACTTGTAGAAAGTACAGTATAGGGCCAGAGAAGTGACTTATATACTGTAGTCAGGTGAGTCGAAGCAGGAGGAGGCGGGATCACAGTGGAACCATCCGCTAGTGTAAGTAGGTCTTCGTCCAAAAGTTGGACAAGTGTTGAAGAATTCCTTGTATCAAGATCCCATGATGTTGCAGTGTCTGACAGAGGTGATAAATGGTTTTGAAAAAAAAAAAAGTTGAAGAGACACTTATGTAACATATGGAATCTTTATTGAATAAACATTTTGCCACAGTGGCTTCATCAGTCCAATACAAAGCAGAAAAGTGCAAGGAGAGGAGGAGTTTGAGGTAATCAGTCCCACAGACTGAGGGACTGATTACCTCATTACTGATTACAATACTGATAAGTAGACACGTGTACAACTGTTAGGTCTTTATTCAGAAACATTTCATTCATACAGCAGACTTCAGCAGTCGAGTACAGCAGGCTTCATCAGTCGAGTATACAGAAGATCTGATGTCTCCATATTTGCCACCTCTGTACCCGAATAAGACATTTGCATAACATTTGGAATCTTTGTGGCAATGTTTCGCCAGCCAGTAGCTTCTTCAGTCCAATACAGAGAAGAACAGTGTATGATGTGGATGAGTTTGAGGTAATCAGTACCTCAGTCTGGAGTCAATGTGCTAGTCCATCAGTTTTGAGAAAAGTCCTTTTCTAAACCATTTACATCCTGTTAATAATGGTATAAAATACTGACTAGTTGATTATTAAGACACATGGGCAGCAGTTTGGTATCTTTGTTGTTGAAACATTTTGTCTACATAGTAGGCGTCTTCAGTCAAATACTGAAGTAGCAGGTGTAGTAATCAGTCCATCAACCTTGATGGACTGATTACATTATCTTTATTTCACTGCTACACTTGCTGCCTCTGTATCTGACTGAAGAAGCCCACTGCGCAGGCAAAACATTACGGAATAAAAATGCCTAACTGTTGCATGTCTTACTTATTTAAGCACTGTGTTCAAGAAAGTGACCATAAGGGTAACCACATACTTTGCACTTAGTTTGATTATCATTTATGTGATTGCCAAAATGCCAGAACTATTGGTTACCAAGCTTTGCTGAGCCTGGCTGGTATCTGGAAAAGACCACAGAAAATAAGTCACAATTTTGGCTAGGAAAAAAAGTAGCTGGAAAAAAAAGTCACATTTTATTTAAATACCATAAACAAAGTAATAAAACAAAAAATAATTTAAATCGGTTATTAACTGACAGTACATGATGAACACATGGCAAGTGTAAAACCTATTTACAAAGCAGGATACAGGTCTTTACCTTCAAACTAATGACCAATAAACCTTACCTCCAATAGTAAGAAAATTTATGGAATCAATAATTGCCAAGGAAATTTGTAGCCATCTTGAAAGGCATAAGTTGATTGATGAATCTCAACATGGTTTTACAAAGGGGCGTTCCTGCCTTACGAATTTACTAACTTTCTTCACTAAGGTATTTGAGGAGGTGGATTATGGTAGCGAATATGATATTGTGTATATGGACTTCAGAAAGGCATTCGATAGAGTTCCACATCAGAGGCTACTGAGGAAACTTAAGGCACACGGAATAGGAGAAATTTTTTCCTGGGCAGAGGCATGGTTGACAAATAGGCAGCAGAGAGTTTGCATAAATGGGGAGAAATCAGAGTGGGGGCATGTCACAAGCGGTGTTCCACAAGGGTCAGTGCTGGGCCCCTTGTTGTTCACAATTTACATAAACACAGATGAGGGAATAAATAATGACATAGCAACTTTGCTGAGGACACCAGAATAGGGAATCCAATTCATTCTAATGAGGACATTAGAGCACTCCAGGAAGACTTGAATAGACTGATGCAGTGGTCAGAGAAGTGGCAGATGAAGTTTAATATAGACAAATGCAGAGTTCTAAATGTTGGACAGGTAAATAACCATGCCACATATAAACTAAATAATGTAGAGCTTAATATTACTGATTGCAAAAAGGATTTAGAAGTTCTAGTTAGCAGTAATAAGTGTTCGCAATAAGGCGAACAGAATCCTTGGCTTCATATCAAGAAGCATTAATAATAGAAGTCCTCAGGTTGTTCTTCAACTCTATATATCCTTGGTTAGGCCTCATTTAGATTATGCTGCACAATTCTAGTCACCATATTACAGTGGAAACAAATGGTATAAAATACCGACACAATGGAAAAATAAACACAGAAGCAGTATAATGTGATTCTTTATTGACAACATTTCATCCACACAGTGGGCTTTATCAAGTCACAAACCTGGGTGAAATGTATGCGAGTATTTACAGGATGGAGTAAGGTGGAGAATGCTGGGTAGGTTGGATCTGAACCTGCATGTGACAATCTGAGCAGGTTCAGATCCAACCTACCCAACATTCTCCACCTGTCTCCACCCTATAAATACTCGCCTACCTTTCACCCAGGTAGATCTGTTTGTGACTTGATAAAGCCCACTTTGTGTGCAAAACTTTTTCAATAAAGGATCACATTATACTGCTTCTGTGTTTATTTTTCCACCATATTACAGAATGGATATAAATGCACTGGAAAATGTACAAAGGAGGATGACAAAGTTGATCCCATGTGGAAAATAAACAGAAGCAGTATACAGTGGAACTCCGGTTTTCGAACAATCCGTTCCAGAAGGGTGTTCTAAAATTGAAATGTGAGAAAACTGAATAAATTTTTCCCACAAGAAATGATGTAAATACAATTAATCTATTCCAGTCACCCAAAAATACATGTACAGTGGACCCCCGCATAGCGACCTTAATCCGTGCAAGAGGGCTGGCTGTTATGCGAAATGTTCGCTATGTGAATGAATTTTCCCCATAAGAAATAATGGAAATCAAATTAATCCGTGCAAGACACCCAAAAGTTTGAAAAAAAAAATTTTACCACATGAAATATACATTTTCCTACACACAAAGAGAAGGATACATGCACAATAGTAGAGTAGTACATGCACAATATATATTGTGCATGTACTACTCTACTAAATGAAGAATAAATGACACTTACCTTTATTGAAGATGCAGCAATGACTGATGAGACACTGTGTCCTGGGAGTGCCTTTTCCTCCTGAGTACTGTAGGTCCTGTTTGGTATTTTCTTCCAGAACAGGCCTTATCACACTGTGTATGTCACTACGATTCTTAAATCTCTCAACCAACCTTTGCTGGCTCTAAATTCACCAATATGAGCACTAGTTCCAGGCATTTTCCCTGTTCACCTGGGTGTTAGTCGACTGGTGTGGGTTGCATCCTGGGAGACAAGATTAAGGACCCCAATGGAAATAAGTTAGACAGTCTTCGATGACACTGACTTTTTGGGCTATCCTGGGTGGCAAATCCTCTGGGGTTAATTGTTTCTTGGTATTCTCAATAAGCCACACCAACAACGGTGCTACAGCAGCAGCAGCAGCAGCTGACGATGTTACAGCAGCAGCAGACGATGCTACAGCAGCAGCAGCAGCAGACGATGCTACAGCAGCAACAGACGATGCTACAGCAGCAGCAGACGATGCTACAGCAGCAGCAGCAGCTGACGTGTACAGCAGCAACAGACGATGCTACAGCAGCAACAGACGATGCTACAGCAGCAAC